TTGAATTGGGCTGTGTCTGGATTTCGTAGACGTTGTTTATTGTTTGTTAATTATGTTTTGGTAGTAGGCTCAGCCGCAACCAAGGCGGTGGAGGCATACTTGACTATTGATTTGAATTATTCGGTCTGATCCAAGTGATCTAGCGAGTTTTCTGCTGTCGGTACGTGCAGAAATCAGATTCCTATATTGGTAAACGGTAAATGGAGATTATTCTATGACACTGTTTTGCTTACAAGCATACTTTTGACTGTGTTGTACGACCCGTCTCTACAGGGATAGACAGGGTCTTCTCTTGCAACAGACCGAGTTAAGTGTAATTCGAAGCATTTGTAACTCTGCGTTTCGAGTGTGTAAGGTGACTGTTAGCCCATTCCGCCTAATCGTTTGTCATATTTTTAAAACAACATGTCCAATTTTTTACGAAAAAATCTCACGGTGGTAGGGCCACGCAGCAGCCTCGGCTGTTGCACGAATGGGCAGGCCCGTCCGGGTAAGTACCACGACCTCACAGCAGACCAGTGTAAAGTGAAAGTATTATGACAAATACTTTCGCTGTTCGTCTGGAGAGTGAGGTAGCCGGAGCCCAATTTTCAAAAGATTGTCAACGCATCTGTAACCCTCCGGTGTAGCAGATGTCCATGGGCGGCGGTATTAACTTACCATCACGTGAACCGTCGGCTCGTTTGGCAACTTTTCACATAAAAAAAAAAAAAAAACAAAACTACTTGAAATATTTCGCTCTGTATTCGTTTTATAATTGATTTTCACGAGTTGCCAAGATTCAATACCAATGAAATTAATATGGGGCCATATGGAAATCAATAGCTTTCAAACAAAAAAAGAATCATCAAACTCGGTTCTCCCAGTTGAAAGTTCTGCGGTAACAAACATAAAAAAAATACAGTTGCATTGATGACCTCCTCCTTTTTGAAGTCCTTTGACAAAAGCATGCATTAGAATTTAAATTATATTTATAAGAACCTCATAAACACCGTTTGAATGTTTCGAAATGGTTTCTCTGAAATATAATTCGTCGTAAAATTAAACGTTCGAATTTTCCCAACACGCCAACGGTACGTGCCTGCAAATATTCAATTTGATTTTAATATTTAAAGCTTCAGAATAAATACTAAGAACAAAGACGTGGAGAGGGTTGATCGAAGGGATTTGCGTCAAACTCTCTTTGTACGCGAATAGTTAACTCCTCTTTTGTTTCTTGTGTTCTCACATTATGAGAATAATTTCGTTAAGTGGAACAATCTGAAAGAGGTTTACTTCTAAATGGGAAATATCGTGATGCAAATACCGACGGCGGTAAGCCAGTAAATTCACTTTTATTTTTATTCTAACCATGCAAATATACTCGTCATGGGCTAGGTATACAGTAATAGGTTTATTTCACTATATTTTTAAAGGGGTTTTTATCTACATAGATAGAGAGACTAGGGCTGTTCACTTTCCTAGTTCCTTATACACCTTTTTCACCCCCTTACTATCTATATATCTTTGTGTTCTTGGTTATATGCAATTTAATTACGTTTTTTAAATTATAAGTAAAATTAAATATGTAAGATTGAGCTGCTGTTGCTAACCGAAGAGTAAGCGTAGTATACATACATAGTATGTATACATAAGAGCATAGTATAGAATTATATAAACCGTACGGTACTAACGATAACATCAAAACCCTAGCGGAAGTTAATTGAATTAAATAGCGCTTGAATACTGTCCCGTTAGGGGCACTACGTATATCACCAAATAAACAGTTCCCAAGCAGTGCAGCCTGAACAGTGGAAGAATTACCGAAGAAAGTGATATTACGAGAAGAATTAGTAATGTTAAGGTTAGAGGAGGAACGGAGATCTCTTTTAATTGTTCAGCGAAATTTATTTCAATATACCTTTAAGATAACACGGTCATTTAGAATCGAGAAAAAAAGCCAAGCAGAATTCTAGATTTAAGCCTTTATGAACTGTAAGTTCGACATACGTATCTTTTATTCCTTTTTGATTCGTCGTTTTCGCCGTTTAGATTCCTTTATATTTGTAACGATAAACAAACGAACATGCGGTAAAGCCTAGCTTATGCACACAATCTGTCAAAATCAGGGATACATTCGCCCGTGAATAATTCGTGCCGTTTTATCTGTGGTACTCGCAACTGACAGACGAAGGACCTACCTCGCTTACCGACACTACTCGTTTCATAGATGCAGCGCGTTATTCAGACGACTATACTTATGTATATATTCGTATAAGAAGGTAACCTAGATTCATATATGATCTATACGAATACAGGAACGTTTCTGTGACCTCGTAGTTGCCTATACTCATTCATCTTTAATTTGGATAGCCCAATTAGTGCGTCGAAGACAGGAGTGAATCTTCTCGGGACTCGTGCATTTACCACCCAGGGCGTAGTTTACCGCTCCAGACAGTTTGATATGAAGAGCAATTATGCATGTACGTGTAACGTGTTGCTAAGCTGTTCGCTCTGGGACCGGGGTTCTGCTTCTGGTGCCGAAGACGTGGATTCTATTCCCACAGCGGCAACAATCTTCGTGCTTTTTCTATAAATTTTAATGTTTAATCTTAAGTGCAGAGATTAGCACTATAAACATTTTAAATTTCTAAAAGCAATGGCGACATCTCTCGTTCGAATTATCGCTGTAAAACTATATTCGAAATTGTTTGTATGCTAGAATGTATATAACAATGGATTCGTCAAGCATTGCATCAAATGCTAAAAAACAATGTACATAAAAGGCGATAAGATTATCGTCGGTGTTGTAATCAGCCGTTTAGCTAAGTAGCAAAAACGTCCGGCCGCGAATGCTAAAGACATGGGGTCGATTCCCACAGCGGCGACAATCTTTTCGTACTACAAATTTTAATGTTTAATCTGAAGTGCAAAAAACAGCACTATAAAATTTTAAATTTGCAAAACAACATATTTTCAAGTTAGTAAAGACACACAATATTTTTGAACACTTAATTAGAATATATAACGTTAACAGCAGAGATTCATATCTTCCACAAAGTGAAATTCTCAAAAAGATTTCAAACGTCTCTTGCTAGTTCTAGAGTAAGCTCATTAATTACATAGTAGGTATTGTTTGAAAAACGTTGGTGCTTCTCAAAATGTTTCATTCTTTTGTAAAGTGTATATTTTTTTATGGGAAAAACGAGGCAAACGAGCATGCGGGTGGGTCACCCGATGATAAGCCATCACTGCCACCCATGGACATTTGCAACATCGGTTGTGTTGCAATTGCGTTGGCGGCCTCTAAGGTAGGAGTAAGCTCTCTTCTTGAAGGTCCCTAAGTCGTATCGGTCCGGAAATACCGCTGGCGACAACTCGTTCCACAAAGTGGTGTCCGTGGTAGAAAAATTCGTGGAAAACGCACAGTGGTGGACCGCCAACCAACAAGGCGGTATCGATAGTACTTGGCGGTTTGACGAGTTGTACGATGTTGAAATTCACCAGTAGGTAACAACCTAAACAATTCCTATAAATCTTTATCAAAACTTGAAAGATACTAAAAAAAGTGAATAACTTTCAATTAGCATTTCAATTTCACAATTGAAATTTGCTCAGACTAAAACACTGTACTAAACAAAGTGTGTTAATACGCATTTTGATTTCCCAATTCAAAGTTGCTCAGTCTAAAACCGGATAGCCTCAAGCGTAGGATGTTAGTTCCATGAAATACCACGTTCCTTGATAATTCATATCGGATTGTCACGTGACACGTTATAAAATCCGTCACGTCATGGCCGCAGCTGCTCCGTAGAAGTAGGAACGCAATTTGCCAAATTGAAGATGTCTCCGAATTCCCGACCACCTCGCGCGTCGCCATCATTTTAATCTGTCACTCACGCTGACGGACAGACCGACAGCCCCACGACACTTATTGTGTACTTATCTCTGTGCAGGGGATTCCACGATTTCAATAAAAGAAAGTCGTTTAATTCCAACCTGGCTTTGTCTAATGCGATTTATTTTGGATGATTAGTGAACATTTTTCAAGACTGCTCGTTTTAGGTGGCGTGGTGGTATATTGTGAAAATACATACACAGCCTCATGGGACTGTCGACAGAAGTGAAAAATAAAACAAAATCAAAATTAACATTGTATGATATTTAATTCTACATATTTTATAGGCACTCCCAACGATAATTACATTATTTAAATCATAACCATAACTACAAATATATTTTTGCGTGTTCACGACGACGCGAGTTTCACTTTTTGTTCACCCATAAAGTACACATGTACGTACCTATAGCTGATGGAAAGCGTTAGGTGACTACGGCGCGAGTTCCAAGATGTTTGTTCACAAAAATCATAATAACTCTCACTTATTTTCACCCAAAAAGTGCTCAACGCGCCTAAAGAAGTTTTCAGAAGGTTTTTAAGAAGTTATACTTCTTTAGCGTAAAGACATTAATAACGATTTGTTTAAATAACTTGGAATTATTGGTAAATGTCAAAAAGTTGATATTGGTTGCCGTGTTAATGCATCACGTCGATTTTTGAGGGTAGGTGTGCGCGCGTGTCGTAAAAATTTTACTGTCATAATTTTTTTCCGAAAGCGCCTAAAGAAGTGTAACTTCAAAAATAACTTATTTAACGCTATCGGTGCTGATTGTCCGTGTCGACTGTGTCACGGCTATAGGAGTGAAATGTTGTCAAAAATCCTTACATTCATTTGAATATTGTAGAGGTTACGTACCAAATAAACATTAAAATAAAGATGAGGTTGAAAAAAGTAATCAGAAGGATATTTTAACTAATAGTTGCGTCGGCCAACGTTGTGAACACGTGACGGCAATGCTAAAAAGTTAATGAACTGGCATCACCTGGTATTTAACCAAACTAAAATAGTTCATTAACTTTTAAGAACGAAACCAATGTCATAAAAGAAGAAAAAATGCTTTTGACTTAATAAAACAGGGCGTCGCGTTAACAAAGTGGGAATACGGGAACAATAATCCTAGCTCACCGCGTCGTCCCGCTCACCGACGCGACGTGGCTTTACAAAGGGCCACGTTAGCACGCCTTCAAAGGGGAGAGCGTCCAAACGACCGGCCCACTCACCGTTCGCCCGCAACTGGGGTGAAACTGGGACGCTCACAAAGCCGCAGCGGGGCACACAATGGCATCTGCTGCACCGATTGAGGGACACGGACAGGTTCTCTTTGTGCGACCGCTTTTTTCTCAACACCTCTGTCGTTAATGGTGTCTGTTGCATATCAGATCGGGCCCGGATACTGGCTAAGATTGCCGAACTCAGTTTAAGAAAAACTCTATTTTGCAATAGATGGTAAGCAATAAGCACCGGATGAAGGCATTTATACATCAATGATATAGTCAAAGATTTCGGGGAAAATAGGAAAAGGAAAAAGGAAAGCATGAGTTTAAAGTTCCAAGTAATGAGTTTTTACTAAGTTTTTAAAAGAAAGAAGAGAATTAGCTTGTCGAATGTGAAGATCAAAGAATTCCACAAACGTACAGCTGGCACTGTATATAAGATTTTTTGAAAAAGAGGAATGTACAGGAGTTTGGAGGAAGAGATTGGCAGAAGAATGAAGGGACCTTTTATGCGGTACTGAAAGATACTCGAAGCGGTCTTTTAAGTATTTAGGAGTAGAGAGATTAAACAACACGCTGTACAAAGCAGAGAGAATATGGATATTTCTGCGAAGGCGGAGTGGGAAGAATGGGAACATGATCATATTTACGAAGGCACAAATTTTGAATCCGCTCAAGTGTATTAAGCTGTACTTCGGTAAGATCAAGTTAGCAAATATAAGCATAGTCAAGGGCGGGCATAAGTAGCGAATGAGCGAGCGCAACTTTAGTAGCAGTGGGAAGAAAATCTTCGTAAAGAGCCTATAGTAGAGATCATTTTTTTACTAGCCTTATTTAGTTACTAGCCTGTGGTGTCCATGTCAGATAGCCGTCAAATTTTTTTCCAGATTTTTCACCTTTTTGCTGTGCGGGATGTGTGTAACGTTAAGAATGATTGGTAGACCAGTTGATTTTAGCGGCCAACCTAGAACTCCCGATGATGATGGCTTGAGCTTTCGTAGGATTGATAGTCAAACCTTACTCCAATAAGAAATACATGCCAAATTTAAAGTTAGTGCTTTCAATCGATACAAGTAGGTTTTCCAGAGACGATTGAGTATAAATCTGGAGATCATCAGCGTATAACTGGTAGAAAGAAGATACGTGAGGACTGGGCGTATTAATGAAGATTGCAAACAGGAGAGGAGACAACACGCCGCCTTGTGGAACGCTAAGAATATTGTTATTCCAGGAAGAGAAAACATCCTGCATCTGAACACGTTGTCGGCGATCAAACAAGTAACTATGAAACCAGTCAACTACAATCGGAGATATGTTGAGAGAACGCAGAATAGCGAGCAATATGTCATAATCTACAGTAATAAATGCATTACTGAAGTCAAGCAAAGTCAGTACAGTAAGACTTTAATTATCCATGCCATAACGAATGTCGTCGGTAATTTGCAGGAGTGCTGTTGTCGTGCTATGGCCGGGACGAAAACCATATTGGAATGGATTGAGCAGATTGTTTTCCACAAGGTAGGAATTTAATTGCTTTTGGACAAGGCGTTCACGAACTTTAGATAAGAATGGAAGTAGGGAAATGGGCCGTTAATCGGAGATAACATTCGCCTCTTTCCAAGTCGAGGGAAAAGAAGGACTTTTCAGGGAGTTGTTTAGGATAGAAACAATTACAGATTTAAAGAGATTCAGGAGAGGTAACCATTTTAGGTAAGACCATTTTACGGCTAACGCAATCAATGCCGACAGAGTTCGAATGGATGGGCGATAGTGTTGTCTCAACATCACGATCATCAATTTTATTGAAATGAAAAGCGGGAGTATTAGGAGTGGGAGTGTTTGAAAGGGAATATAAAGTGTTAGTTTTTACTTCATTATTAATTCAAGAAGAAGAGGAAAATGCTGAATAAGCTGATCAAGATCAGTATCATGAGCAGAAATGTTATGGCGTGATTTCCCAACTCCTAAGTATTTCAGAAATTTCCATACCCTAGCAGGGTCAGGGTCTTGACTGACTGACTTTTGAATATGGCGTCGTTGTAGTTTCCTGTAAATATTGTTGCAACAATTTCGTACCAGTCTATATTTTTCTTTATTCATGTCACTAGGATTTGACTTGTATTTTGATTTGGCCTTGTTCTTTTTCTCAATAATTTGTTTCATGTCATTTGTGAGCCATGGAGAAGGAGGGTATTGAACGCGCACAGTTATGAGAGAATTAAATAATACTACCCGTTCGTCAACCGTACAAGCATCAACAACCACATTCCAATCAATGTTTTCCACGTGAAGAAGAAGTTGCTTTTCGTCCATACCACTAAAGTTGCGCTGAAGTAAGATTCTTGACTTGGCCTTGGGAGGTCTAATTTTGTAAGATAGGAAAAGAAGATCGTGATAGGAAAATGCATCAGCGGCACAATACACGCCATATTTGCCGATATGATCAAGCGAAAAAACAAACATTAAATCGAGAAGGGAAGCCGTACATTTTGGAAAGAAATGCGTAGCAGATAAAAGAAGAAGGTTTAAGTTTACAGCCTCTATAATAGATGTAAGTTGGGTGGATCTGGAATTATTTATTTTATTTTTCAACAAGCAATTGTTAAAATCACACATGATTATTAAGTGACAGAACATAGGTGTCAGATTTTCAAGTAGATTTTCCAATGACGAGAAGTACTTAATTGTGAGAGAAGGGTTGTACAAGACTCCCAGAAGTAATTATGTATGTGAAAGAACAACTTCAATAAACAGAAATTCTGCTTCACTTCCAGACTGCGGTTGTGACGTTTGAATTACTGAAGAAGGTATATGAGATCTAAGATATATAGCAACACCACCACCGCCACGATCAGTTCGGTCATTACGGATTAGATGAAAGCATGGAAGCGAGTAGGAAGTAGACGGAATACATGGCTTTAGCCATGATTCTGAAACAAGAACTGCTTGTATATTTTTACTATCAAAACTTGACAACATATCCGTATAGTGAGCAGGGACACTTTGGGCGTTTATATGAACAATGTTAAAATTTTTTGGAACATCTAGAAAATATGAGTCTAACGTTAACGCTTTCGAAACTATCTATGCTGGTCGATCCATCAGAAGTGGAGAAAAAGGAAATGAGTCACTTACATTACAAATGCCATCATGTAATGATATCATTTTAAAATAATAATTAAAAAGAAAAACAAAACAAGTTTTAGAAATACAAAACTAGTTAACTAAAAACTAAAAAAAAAAAATAAACTAAATTATAAAATAATAAGAAAAAAGACTTAAAAACTATCACAGTAAAAAGTATAATTAATAAACTACCAAGAGCCGTGATAGCTCAGTGTTCAGGCGCTCGCCTTTAATTCAATATACTCGAGCAACCTGAGTTCGATCCCCGGTGCCAGCACCAATGAAGTTTTTAACTTTAAGTGCTGACTTATCACGTGCTCTGCGGTGAAGAAAAACATGGTGCGGTAACCTTCATATTTTCGAAATAATAACAAAAAAAATATATTTCGAAAATATGTGAAGTCCGCCAATCCGCAGTGGCGCCGCGTAGTCCACCGACTATGCCCTGAAACCCTCTGTATAGAGGAGGGCTTTTCCCAGCAGTGGGACAGGTATAGGCTGTTACTTTACTTTACTTTAATAAACTACCTGCCAACAGCATAAAAGAAATATACATAAATATTAAAAATAATGTTATACTCACTGCTGGCAACAAATGATAAGTATCAATCTCAATATATGCAGTGTCGACCATAGATAAGACATAATTATATACTGAAATACTGGTGTCAACTGACAAAAGTGACAAAACAAATCAATCATTTTACTCATTATTCTATTAAATTATTATACTAATAAATTTAATGTAATACAAAATACTAAAACACTACACTAAGAAACAACAAATTCAACATAGCAAATGAAATGAAACCGTATTGTAGTAAAAGGAAAAAACATTATTTGTAAAAATAAAGATAGAAATATACCTAGCAGTGACGAAATAACAATAACAATGAAAATAATATTTTTTTTACCAGTTCTCTTTACACGTGTAGCACCACGTGTTATTATTACCGGATTTATTGGCTATTGCAGACTGGAGTGGCGAGGAAGTAGTTAACACTAATGGCATGTGCCGTCTGGTGTGAAAAGATGGATAACGCCATCCTGGGCCCAGCATTTGGTGACGCCGTATCTGCGCCAAGCTTCCATAAATACATTATGGCGACTTTTAGTGAGGAACTTTGACTGTTGGATTCCGGAGCCTTTGAGTTCAGTTTTAGAGAACCAAACCTTATCGCGGAATGATGACTCGTGGAACTTGACCACCACAGGTCTGAACTCTTTATCAGAGGGACGCCCCAGACGATGGTAGCGGCTGAAAACTGCATTATTTATGCCAGGGATTTGCCACTTGTTAGTGATGAGTGTACTCTGATAGACGTGTTTTCCGCTTTCTCTTCCGAGATACCATGCAGGAGGATCGTCTTTATACGACGTCTCATCTCATTCCGGTCTAGCTCCCTCACCACCAGATCCATCTGACTATGCGGGGTTGTTAGAGCTGCTAGGATAAATTTCTTAAAACTACTAAATTCAGTAGCTATGGAAGAAGTACTTGGTCCAACTGGATTGCCTTTATGCAGTTCCCGCTGAAAATCCTCCATTTGAGCTTGAAACTACTCAGAAATTTCCACAAGTGATTCTTTCAGTGCTTCCATGTTGAAACATATTTGAAACGTACAGTAAAACCTGAATTTACAAATGTTAATAAGTGCTGGTAGGTAGTTTTACATTAATTGTAAAAAGTATTCATTCAGTAATAAGTATACTATACTTAAATTAAATTTAAATACAAGAGTTTGAGTTAAAAACGTGTGTGTTTTTATTACGGCTACCCTCAAAGTTGTTTTCCATCATGCCAGAGAAATTCGCCGTTGCTGTCTCATTTATAAAATAATATATTACTGTGTTTCGCACAATACTACGAAAACTGACGTTATAACCCAGAAATTTATTTTTAGGTCAAATACGCCGCCATCCAGATGACAACTTGCAACCGAATAATTGGATACTATTATACGCATGCTACTAAAATCACGTGTTATTCTGTAGGCTTCTATCAAAGCGATTCCAGAAAAATGTTTCACTACATAGTTAAAAAGAGCCGTGATAGCTCAGTGTCCGGGCGCTCGCCTTTATTTCAATATACTCGAGCAACCTGATTTCGATCCCCGGTGCCGGCACCAATGAAGTTTTTAACTTTAAGTGCTGACTTATCACGTGCTCCGCGGTGAAGGAAAACATCGTGAGGAAACCTGCATATTTTCGAAATAATAACAAAAAAAATATTTTTCGAAGATAAGTGAAGTCCGCCAATCCGCAATGGGGCCGCGTGGTGAACTATACCCTGATACCCTCTGTATAGAGGAGGCCTTTGCCCAGCAGTGGGACATGTATAGACTGTTACTTTACTTTACATTTTTACATAGTATAAAACAAAGTCGTAGCACTATCTGTCTGTCCCTATGTATGCTTGCATCTTTAAAACTACGCAACGGATCTTGATTTTTTTTTTTTTTTTTTTTTATGCGAAAAGTTGCCAAACGAGCAGACGGTTCACCTGATGGTAAGTGAATACCGCCGCCCATGGACATCTGCTACACCCGAGGGTTACAGATGCGTTGACAACCTTTTGGAAATTGGGCTCCGGCTACCTCACTCACCAGACGAAACGCGAAAGTATTTGTCATACTTCCACTTTACGCTGGTCTTCTGCGAGGTCGTGGTACTTACCCGGACGGGCCTGCCCATTCGTGCCACAGCCGAGGCTGTTGCGAGGCCCTACCACCGTTGATCTTGATGCGGTTTTTTTACTAGATAGAGTGATTCAAGAGGATGTTTTAAAAGTATGATAAATTAAACCCGTGCGAAGCCGGTGTGGGAGGCTAGTACATTTATAAATCATTTCAAAGTCATTACCACCCGATAAAGCACTTCTAGACCACTGGAAGCTTGGCGATAGCAGACGAAATCGTCGGATGCTATGTCAATTAACGTGACACTTCTATGACACCGGAGTGACGTAAAACGAGTGGGTCTGACCGTTTGCACGTCATTCCAATGACTACGCACAATAAGACTCAAACGCGGCTCGTCGTGTTCTTGTTTTTGAATTATTTTTTAATCTATCCTATACCTATAAGTTATAGAGAAATGAATAGAGAAAAACTCAAAACACTTTCTCTTTTTGATTTTCTTTTATGATACTTTTAGCGATTCATATTTTGTTTTTTTTTTAAACCTAAGTTGTGAGTTAATTCTCCAATTTGTTACTTTTAAAATTGTGATTTATTTCTTAAACAACAAGGATACATTTTTTTATATGGCATCTTTATTTCAATTGTTTTTAAAATGTCTGATATAATAATCAAAGATAAGTTTATTTCCATTGTATCCTTTGTATTGAAGGAGAAAATAAAGAAGAAAAAAAAGAACTTATTGTTTATTTTCTCTTCTTCTACTGTGTATATAATAAGTATGTAAAACATAGTATCTCTAATATTCTGTCACTCGCGCATCATGGAACTACTATTTATCACTTAGAAAATTGGCAAGCCCGGCGAAAACGCTCGGCTGTAATAATAATAGACGAGGAGTACAATATAGAACAATTAAGGTGCTATCCGGCTAACTAAATAATTAAGTCGGCTGCCAACTTTTAATTAATTAGGTCGAAACTCACCGAAAGCGATGCTATGTTCTAAGCACGCTTAGGCCGTCCTGATATCGCGACCCTGGCTTATGTCCAACTTTTAATGAGGCTACTGAAATTCAACATGGTTAACTGAAAATACAGATATAACAATATCCATCGTTTATGGTAACAGCAGTTAGCGCTTTCGGAAATTATAACTTATTTTCTTCATTCTTTATTGTGACCAAAGGTTTACACATTTATATCTTTATTTATAATATTTTAAAAATAATTATGATAAATTAAAAGTAACAGCCTATGTGTGTACCATACCAGCAAAGAAAGTGCTTCATTTGTACTGAGGCTTTTAGTAGCCGGGGCCCACTTTGTTTAAAAGTGTCAACGCATTTGCAAATATCTACGGGTGTTGCAAAAGTCACAATATGTTGGTTGGTTGATATTATTGCCTTTGGTAATTATGTAATTACATTGTTTTGTTTTCAGCTGATTTCAAGGATTAAGGAATAATAATAACATAACACCTAACAACATTGACTTGACATAAATAAGGTTTGTTACTTATTTTGTTGTAATTTTTCCCTTATGTTATTTAGTTTTTTTGTTACTAATTTATATATTGTACTTCAAAATTTAGTAAAAAAAAGTAAAAGTAACAGCCTATACATATCCCACTGCTGGGCAAAGGCCGCCTCTTTTTTACAGAGGGTATCAGGGCATAGTCCACCACGCGCCCCCACTGCGAACTTCACATATCTTCGAAATATTTTCTTTTTGTTATTTCGAAATTATACAGGTTTCCTCATGATGTTTTCCTTCACCGCGGAGCACGTGATAAGTCAACACTTAAAGTTAAAAACTTCATTGGTGCCGCACCGGGGATCGAACTCAGGTGCTCGAGTATATTGAATTAAAGGCGAGCGCCCGGACACAGCTATCACGGCTCTTATGACTAAACACGGCTAAATTTAGTAGAGAGTAAAAAGTCCGAAAAATAAATAAGCATTATGCACATAATGTGGAAACCGATAATTCAATCATTTATCTCTGCTATGCTCCACGCGCCCGCACTAGAATGCAATACGTGATCGGTGCATGTCAAAAAACACACAGAGCACGACACCAGTATCCGATCGAATGGTGTTACATAAAGAAAGCGGTGTCAAAAGTTGTCGCGTTCCTCTCGCGTCCAATTTTGGCACGTGCGCATTTGATATCGCGGCTATATAGCAGTTCGATCGCGGGCCTGGAAGGGGGAGAGCGCGACAAAATGAAATTCGCGAATCGACCCACACGCCAACTGTAGGATGTCATCTGAGACGTGGGTCCGTCCGAGGCGACGATGCGCTGCAATTTGACCCCTGTCGCGTTGCCTTTGAACCAAAAATCCCTCGGCGGCTGTTGGTTCGCAATTTGCATGCACATCGGAACTGTCAGCGACGCGCTGGGACCGGATCACGGATGTGGTTCCATGACGTTTAGCGTTCGATGTTTTATCGTTCGACTCGATTTAATGTCAGCCTTTAAGCCGGTATTCGGGTTTTGGTGCAAATGATATTTTGTTTAAAACCGGCCAAGTGCGAGGCAGACTTCCGCACGAAAGTTTACGTACCATTATTTACAAAAACCGCAAAAAAAGTCATGTCCGTTGTATGGGGGCCTCACTTAAATATTTTTTTATTAAATTTTTTAGTACTTGTTGTTATAGCGGCAACGGAAATCCATCATCTGTGAAAAATTCAACAGTCTAACTATAACGGTTCATGAGATACATACCGCCTCTTGACGCGATCTGTCACCAGGCCTGATGCCAGATGGACTGACAGACAGATAGACAGACGGACAGACAGTGGAGCTTTGTAATAGGATCCCGTTTTACCCTTTGGTTACGGAACCCTAAAAAGCAGTCGAACAGTCGTAGTTTCAATCCCGGGTGCCGGCATCAGTGAAAGTGTTAATTTAACTGCTGACTAAAATATAAATATTATAGAATAAACTTATTAATTAGGAGTTTATTAGGATAATTCTGAAAAATCAAATCTTGTTACTTGAGATAGAACATTAAGGAGAAATATTCAAAATATGATCAAACACCTATGTGTATGTAATTTAATTATGCTATCATATTTTTTTTATTGATGTATTGCGTAGTGTATACTGCCTGATTTACAATATGTATGATATGGTGATTATTTGTTTTGTAAATAACTCATGTCGATCTTTTGTTCAATACAAATTCATTGTATTTTTGGATGTTTGATATATTGAAATTTATAGATTGGTGCTGCACTTTAATCATACTTTACTTTCGCAAAAGCAGTTGACTGTGCGTATCAAAAAAACACAGTCTTAGAATATACTGGATAGCACGTTTAAGGTAGCTTCTTAAAACTTTGATGACTAGATTAGCGTGGGGAGTAGTGAACCTGCCTATTACGCCGGAGGGTGTGGGTTCGATCTCCACTATTGGAAAAATATTGTGTGATTAATATAGTGTTTTTCCAGTTTCTGGGTGTTTATGTATGTATAATATGTATTTATTTACAAAAGAAAAGTATGTTTAAGTCAATTTATCAGTTTTGTAGTGCCAATAGTGTAGTATAAGATGACTCCGTGGCGTAGTTGCCAAGGTATTGGCTTCGGCGTCGAGGGTCGTGGGGTCGATTCCCACACGGGACAACTATTTGTGTGGCCCACAGATAGTTGTTTCGCATCTGGGTGTTTGTCCGCGTGAAATTCATGTTTGTAAAATGTTTACCACACAGGATAATGCTATCCTAAAGTAAGGGCAATGTTTTTAAAAAAAAAAAAAAAAAAAAAAAAAAATAGTACAAGCGTTGTTTAGTTTGGGACCAGTGAACGCTGTGTAAAAATGTTTCCGAAAATATTTATTTATTCATTCATTATGTTATAAGAACAAAATTTATGTAATAAGTTTCATAATAGCTAAAGAAATAACAACGTATCCCTAACACAATCGAACAAATTCCAAGCCAAACACATTCCAGCACGTTCCAACACGTTCAACAGTAAAACTTCGGCGGTGAAAGCACACCCGTATAAAACTTTATTGCCCTCTCAATTCTTCCGATTGGCGAAACGGTTCCCTGGTATAAGATTAAAGAAGACACAGCAGCAGCATTCTTGGTGATAGCATTCCACCGTCCTTGTCATTGAATCAATTTATAAAATATATAAAAAAGTATATTGAAATTTCGAAATAAAATCTATGTATTATGTAAAATCGATGCTTATGATTTCCAGACTACTATTTTATTACATACTAGCTTTTCGCTTGCGACTTCGCTTGCGTTGAAGCCCTTAAATAAATATCTATCCCCTTTAAGAACCCTTTATAACCCTTCTTCCAATTAAAAAATAGCCTATGTCCTTTCTCAGTCCTTTCTAGACTATCTGTGTATCAAATTTCATTTAAATCGGTTCAGTAGTTTTGGCGTGAAAGCGAGACAGCCAGACAGAGTTACTTTCGCATTTATAATATTACTATGGAAGTATGAATACTGTATTGGCTATCTTGAATTTGATTTGATAATAAAGATAAAATTAATATTAAATATAAATAAATAAATAAATGTATTAAATTAATAATAAGAAATTATGTGAATGGATTCCAGAAAAAAACATTTACAGAGTTGATATGAGATGTTTTGAATAAAGCTAGGATGATTTTTGGAGGAATGAAACAACAGACACGCGACATTGCGTGAATCAAAATTGATTTTATTTTCTTTGGAAGTAATTTATAATATTGGATAAACGCAGAAAAATTTAATAATCTTATAACATGTTTTCACATATTTTGAAGTACCTATAGGTACTTCAAAATATATCATAGAACTCTGGTTAGTACAATTATTTTGGATTTCAAGAATTCGTTAAGAAAAAAAATAGGGAAAGAGTATAATAATAATGATCATAGCTAAATAAATACCTGTAACTAGGATCGAATTTATACGAGTAGTTTATACGAGAGTTGAATTTAATTAATGTTTTACAACCGTGTTTTTTTTAATTTATAATTTGTTTAAAAAACATATCGAACTACTAAAGGTATCTGTTGTACGATGAAGGAACTTCGAAGACTTCGTGGCGCTATTGCCAAGGCATTGGCTTCTGCGTCGGGTAATGTGGGTTCGATTCCCACACGGGACAACTATTTGTGGGATCTACAGATAGTTGTTTCGCATCTGGATGTTTGTCCACGTGAAATACATGTTTGTCCTTACAACACAGGAATAAGTATAACGGCGACGGATAATCCTAAAGTAGGGGAAATGGGTTTTTTTTTTTAAAGAAGGAACATGACAGACGAATGAGTTTCGTCTATTACACCTAGTTTTGAATGCTGATGTTAATTAATTGTCTTTACCTATCCTGCTTGAACAACTAGGAGCTATTGCATATACAGAATGTGAACAAAATTTTACACGATATAACTAAAAATCCGGAACTTCAGCTGGTTCGCAGCGGCGAAGCTTTCGGGACGCGTATAAAACGGGCGTTCGTATTATAAATTCCTTTAAATGTTGTATCGCTGAACATTTTCCATCGGCGACGGATAATCCATTAGCACCAGTGGACAGTTTCGATGCGCTACGCGTGAATATTGAATATAAAAATGATACATTACTATTCCCGTGCAGATTTACAGCCCGTAGTGTACAACGATGTTTTCTTTTATTGCCAAAAGTTGAATGTAACCCGCATAATTATTTCTATCGAACGGAAAGTATGACAGTATGGAACCGATTGGATAATTTCTATGTATTACAATACAAGAGGATGATAGAGAGGAATAATTGCCCAGTAGTTATTTTTAATCGCCACGCCTAAAAACTAAAGTTACTATTCCAGTATGTAGTAAGAAAAACCCATATTTCAATTCAATTACTTATTATTTTTATTTTGTTTTTTTTGTAAAATATTGCCTTTTTACTTAATGAAGCTGTCGAATAAGTTAGTGGGTACTCTTTTTATGTGGAAATTTCGTAAGTGGACAGTTGGTTCAATCTGATATTACGATTAATCAGACCATGAAGGGCGGTTAAGTTTGGACCACGCCGCGGAAAATAACGCTAGTGCCATAAAAGGGTTCGATATGGGGCGCGGAAATTGGGCGCTATGTGTCAGCGGTCTATGTCCTTGTGTGAAACTAGTGTCAGGAGCTTTTTTTCGTTTATTCGATGACGTAGTGACTGGTCGTCTTAAGGTCTAAGAGTGACCGTTTTATGCCCCTACAGCGTGCACCAGATTTCTGTTTGTTAGATTCGGTATGCGCTGAACTGTCTCAAACTCCTTACCACGTGTTAAAACTTAAAACTATTATTAAACCTTTTTTTTTTTTCGCCAATTCTCTTACATCAAATCCTTTATGGATACCCCATCACGAATCGGGGGAGTGGCAGGGGTATGAGGAATTTCGGGACAGACATGGTAACCATCTAAAACCAACGTTGCACCTGTCGCTATCGCATCGGCCGGGGACACGGGAAGCCGAAAACACAATCTTCCGCCACCGGCACGGCTCTCTGCTTCTCGGCCCTCCTTTCCTCGGGTAATAGGGCCGTTCATGAATGTGGTGCCGATGCAATTAACATAGCTCCCTCACGAGCCAAGTATTGAAAACAGATGCATGTTGCCAAGTCCGTTGCCCGGTATCTCACTATCAGATTGCGATTGCACGCGTTGGCTCGCGCCCTGTCCCACAGCGTAGGATATCCCGGGTGGCAGTGCATCCCAGAGCCATTCTGGCGGTTCACCTGATGTTAAGTGATATCCTTTAAACATTTGAAATACCCGTATGGTTTTAGATGCGTTGCCTTTTTAATAAATGGGCCCGGTTACATCACTCACAAGGTGAAACACAGTGGTAGAACTTAAACCCTTCACCCCGGTTTTCTGGGAGGGCGTAATACTGTCCCCTTTCCAAGCGGTTATGTCCTCGCAATTAGAGTCGAATGGACGAACGCCTTTCCTTACTTGACGATATGTAACATCTCACGCTCCGCTCAAGCTACTATACGAAACTTTGTTTCACAGAGCTTCTTCATCATCATCATCGTCATTTCAGCCTGTTTGAGTCCACAGCAGAACATAGACCGCCCCCATAGACTACCGCGAACTTATACATAAAACAAAGTAATGTAAATCAATAGTTTACAGTTTATTTTTTAATTCCCTACTTTAGCCCGTTTCTTTGTGAGCGGGCGCCTTCTGACCTAGAAGTTGTGACCCCTTTCCGTCTGCGGACTTAAATAAGAACAAAATTGCGAGAGCCTTGACCAGCTACAAGGCTTGACGAAGGTTCCCTTTTGATGGATGAATACGCTCGCCGTTTCCGATTTGAATTGCGCTGCTTTTAACCACAAAGATCTTGCCAGAGTAATAAATAACAAAACCATTTG